CCTGCCCAGCCACCTCTCCACTCGGTGGTGCAGGTAACAAGTGTCAAAAGCTGCAGTAAATCCCCCCGAGCGGGGCTGCGGGAGCTCAGCACCATCCGGAGCAGAGCTACCGGGAGGCCCAAGGCAGCATCGTGCTGTTTGGAATTCTTGCATCCTTTCCTTTCATTTCTATCGACTGTCGCGTGCAAAGGCCAGCAGGACAATGCCAGTTGGTTTGATTCCCTCTCCCCAGATGGACCCGTGCTAGCGGGAGGTCTGTGTCATAGAATCACAGAATCCCAGGATGGTTTGGGTGGGAAGGGACCTTAAAGCCCACCCAGTGCCACCCCCTGCCATGGGCAGGGACACCTCCCACCAGCCCAGGTTGCCCAAAGCCTCATCCAACCTGGCCTTGAACCCCTCCAGGGATGGGGCATCCACAGCTTCTCTGGGCAACCTGGGCCACTGCCTCACCCCCCGCACAGGGAGAAACTTCCTCCTCATATCTCATCTCCATCTCCCCTCTTTCAGTTTAAGTCAGTGCCCGTGGGTTGAGCGGTGCCGCTGAAATGCGCCGCGCGCGATGCAGACAGCGTTAGCCCACTGACCTATATCTGCCTCGTTCTCTCCTCCTCCCGCTCCCCAGCCGGGAGGAGAAGCTGTGGGATGCAGCAGACAGCAGTCTGTCAGCTCGCTGGGTGCTGCAGGGAACTCGTCGCGTTGCACAAACCCTTCCCTGAGCTCTCCCAGCCCATCTGCTCTCCGCTCTCCTCCCGCAGCAGCTGCACGGCAAGAACGTCCAGTTCAGCGACGGCTACGTGGTGAAGGAGGCCATCGGCGTCGGCTCCTACTCGGTGTGCAAACGCTGCATTCACAAAGCGACCAACATGGAATACGCTGTCAAGGTCGGAGATTTACCGTCTGAACCAAACTCCTCTGTTAGGTTTCTGTCCATCCCCACCAAAATCACAGCCAGGAATGGGATTGATTCTCTGCTTGCACAGAGCTTAAACGGAACTGCACGAGCTTGCTTAGCTGGGAACAGCAGGGCAGCGGTGCTCCGCTCTGGCAGAGGGGGACAGGCTCTCGCCTTTCTTTGCAAAGCTTGCTGTGGCTCTGTCAGCTCTTACAAACACACCAGACGTAAAACGTTGGGGTTTGAGGACACAGAACTGATGAAGCAACTGGGAGCTTGTTGCTGAAGAGGGCAGGGGATGGGGAACGGATGCGGTACGGGATCTCTGCAGGGCTCCAAACCCTCGGCTCGGTCGCCTTGTCCTGGCTCCGTTGGGGCTAATGCTCATCCGGACTCTTGCAGGTTATTGACAAGAGCAAGCGAGACCCTTCCGAGGAAATAGAAATCCTCCTGCGCTACGGGCAGCATCCAAACATCATCACCTTGAAAGATGTGAGTGTGACTGGAAGGATTTCCCCGTGTTTTGGTTTAGGAAGCGCAGACTGGTCGGCAGCAACCCCTGGTCCTGCTCATGGCTCTGGGCTGGGGAAGCATCCTGATCTCTGGCTGCTTCTCGATGGGAGAAGTCCCAAAGGGAAGCTCTGGAGGCAGTTTTGGGTTAACCCCTTCTGCGTTTGCTTTGGCAGGTGTACGATGACGGGAAGTACGTGTATCTGGTGACGGAGCTGATGCGGGGAGGGGAGCTGCTGGATAAAATCCTCAGACAGAAGTTTTTCTCGGAGAGGGAAGCCAGTTCGGTGCTGCACACGATCTGCAAAACGGTGGAATATCTGCATTCCCAGGGGGTGAGTGCGGCTGCATCTGGCGTTGCGCTGCGCTCCCTCTCCTCCAGACAGTGACTGTACCCATCAGGACTGTTTCTTGCTGGTGTTGCTCTCTTGGCAAGCCAGGTGTGGGGCCAGAGCAGGGGTTGGGTGTCCTGATGTGGCTTCAGAGCTTTTTTTTTACGAGGACAGGCTGAGAGAGTTGGGGGTGTGCAGCCTGGGGAAGAGAAGGCTCCGGGGAGACCTTCCAGCACCTCCCAGTGCTGAAAGGGGGCTACAGGAGAGATGGGGGGGCTCTGGGTCAGGGGGTGCAGGGACAGGACGAGGGGGAACGGTTTGAAGCTGCAAGAGGGGAGATGGAGATGAGATGTGAGGAAGAAATGTTTTCCTGTGCGGGGGGTGAGGCAGTGGCCCAGGGTGCCCAGAGAAGCTGTGGATGCCCCATCCCTGGAGGGGTTCAAGGCCAGGCTGGATGAGGCTTTGGGCAACCTGGGCTGGTGGGAGGTGTCCCTGCCCACGGCAGGGGGTGGCACTGGATGGGCTTTAAGGTCCCTTCCAACCCAAACCCTTCTGGGATTCTGTGATTTGTCATCCTGGGGTACGAGAGAGGCATCTTTTTTGCTCCGCAGGTGGTTCACCGGGACCTGAAACCCAGCAATATTCTCTATGTGGACGAGTCAGGAAACCCCGAAAGCATCCGCATTTGTGACTTTGGCTTTGCCAAGCAGCTGCGGGCTGAGAACGGCCTGCTCATGACTCCCTGCTATACCGCAAACTTCGTGGCACCCGAGGTAAGCCCCTGGCTGACCCCAGACCCTTGGGCCGCTCTCGTGTCCCTCCCCGGGGCTGTGCTCCCCCTCGGCACGGGTAGGTCTGCCCTGTGCCCTGTAAAATCCCAGGGATTGTCTAGGCTGGGTCCCCTCCTGATTAACTGCCTGTTAAATGCGCTGGGATGATTTTCCACTTTGGTGCAGAAGAAAGAAAAAGAGCAGGCGCGCAATGGAGCTTGCGTGCAGTGTCACCACAACGGAACACAGCTTCTGTCATTTTGATGTGCCCGGGGGGTTCCTCTGTCCCATGAAACCAAAATCTGATTTGAATCCTGATTTAGTCCAAGACTTTGCTGTTCGGTGGGGCTCTGGGAGCTTGGCATGCCGACTGCACGCAGGGGTGAAGCCTCTCTTCCCGAGCTGAAGTGAGCTCAACGATAAGAACCAAACACACTTTTTTTTTTTTAATTTATTTTTCTTTGCTTACTCCATTCAGGTACTCAAACGCCAAGGCTATGACGAGGGCTGCGACATCTGGAGCCTGGGAGTGCTCCTGTACACGATGCTGGCAGGGTGAGCGCGCTCGGATGTGCTCCGCGGTGGCAGCGGGACCTCTCCTGGGTCACTGCTGCAGGGCTGGGGTTTGGGTCAGTGAATCCAGCGCTCTCTCTTCTCTCCCCAGCTGCACTCCATTTGCAAACGGTCCCAGTGACACTCCGGAGGAGATCCTGACCCGGATAGGCGGGGGGAAGTTCTCCGTCAGTGGGGGCAATTGGGACACTATCTCCGACATGGCCAAGGTACGGCTTGGTGTTGGGCTGCGTGCTGTGAAAGGGTTGAGGGCAAGCACGGCCAGTTGCTGTCAGACAAGTTTGAAGCAGGTTGGGGAGAGGAGAGAGGAGAAAACCAGCAGTGTGGCTTCTACCCACCCCGCAGCAGCTCAGCACCGTGCCCCTCCCCACTTTGGTTAACCCTGGCTGCAGCTATTTCCATGGAACATCAACGTCGTGCTTGACCCACGGGGGGTTTGCTGCTGTGTTCTACCTCCCAGGCCAACCAAAACCACTTTATACAAAAGGAGATCGATGTCTGGGGACTGTCAACTTGGCCTCGGAATTTAAATCCTAATTTGGGGGCGGAGAGGTGGTATTTTTGCATTTCAAGTATAAAATCTTCTAAAGTCTGACTTTCCAAACGATGCCCTTAGGATCTGGTATCGAAGATGCTCCACGTGGATCCTCACCAGCGTCTCACGGCCAAGCAGGTCCTGCAGCACCCGTGGATAACCCAGAAGGACAGCTTACCCCAGAGCCAGCTGAATCACCAGGATGTTCAGCTTGTCAAGGTACAAAGTCAGGGCTGAGCCTTCAGCTGGTTCCTCGTGTACAGGGGGGAGCTGTGGTCCCGGGGGGGATGGTGGCGTGGGCAGAGCAGGGTGGGAGGCTGGAGGGGGGAGGCGATACAAGACAAGGGGTGGTTTTTGGCAGGAAAACCTGCGGAGGGTCTTTAACAGCATGTTGGAACGGGAGGGAGATTTAAAGAAAAAAGAAAGATGCTCCTGGCTATGTGTCTGGCTGCTCCGGTCCCTCCACTCGTAAAGCCGTGAGTCTGAAATATTTCTTTCCATCCCAATGACTCCTCGTGCCTTCTCCCCCAGGGGGCCAT